CTGTCCCCGCGCGATTTCCCCTTCCAGGGTTGCCGCCCCCAGGACCAGGAGGACCCCGTCCCAAAGGAAGTCGCCGTCCAAGAGGGAATGGCCGTGCTGGATATTTTGGTTTTTTTTCTTGTTTTAAACCGAACTGAAATTGTATTGTTAAGATTAACCGTAAGATTAATTATTTTAGCTGTGTAGCTGGTGGCAGGGAATAAAAATCCCGATTGTTATTAGAAAAATTCCGCCGTTTTATTTCTTGTTTCCGCGGGCCCTCACCAGACCACCGGATGGAAATCCGTGTCTCCTGCTTTAGAGCCACCCCGGTGCTGGAAAGGGATCTGGCGCGGAACCACCGCCGCTCCCGACCTAAGGCACTACCCCGGTGACGTGAAGATAACTTCATAAGCCTAGGTCGGACAGATGTGTTTCTTTTCAGCGACACTAGTCGGTCCAGGGCTTGGCACTGAGGTACGGCACCTTCCACGCGATATCGGCGAAATTGCAGACCGTCACCGTCAACCCCTGAAATTTCGTCACAATATGTATGTAATGTTAAAGTAAATGTAAAGAAGCGTGCTACGGGTATGTTTCAAATGAGTTTACCCTTTACAAAATTTTGTAATGACGTCATCAACATTTTTGCAAGGACATGGATATCAAGTTGGATAGGTGCAGTGTAATACTAATAACAATAACAGTATTGTATTCCCAAATTTTTGGGAGAATGGAGGGACACATTCCTAGTTTAATCAAAAAAATAAATTGACTCATTCATTATTTTTTTTTCAATCACAAGTATAGACTCATCACACTTTGCACATTTAAGATAGGATTTATCCGGCAGAATTTTGACATGACGTCATCAATTTTTTGGAGGGAATAAACGGATACATTTTGATTATAAATTTACGACGCATACGATAACATTAGAACGTCTACAAGATTTCAAAGCTTCGCTTTAGCAGTTCCTGATTTAATTAATAAAATAAATTGACTCATTCATTAATTTTTTTGAAACATCCTGTATAAACAGTTCTAAAAACTATTAATTGAATGATAAAACAAAGGGTTTACAAGTATAGACTTACTATATTTTGCACATTTTAGGTACGCTTTATTTGACAAACTTTTGAGATTATGATTAACAATTTTTTGAAAGGAGTAAGCGAATAAATTTTGATTAACGATTTACCATAATTACCATAACATAACCTTAAAACGTCAAAGTTTCAGAGCATTCGATTTTGCAGTTTCAAAGTTAAATTGCAAAATGTTGTGATACAATTTTAATTTTTTTCCCAAAAATCTGGATGTCCAGGGAAAATAGTCAACACGAAATCATAGGTCACAAATGCAGGAGTATATTATTTTATAAAATAAAAATATACAGGGTTAGTCACGAGAGAATTACTTCTGAAAATTAATTTTACGCAACCCAAAATACGAATACCATGTACCATTTGATACTAACTGAATTTAAAATGAAATGCTTAATCCATGATTGCTTTGAGTTTGACAATCTCATTTTGACAATTGTGGAAAAGGAGGTTACGCGAGTGTCCATGGTGGTACCGCAGCCAGTCGGAAATCTCCTCCGGCGCCGCTAATAAATTTGTCAGTGTGCCTCTTGATCTTTTGCAACCGATTAATCACGAGAAAATTATTTCTAAAAATTTCTTTTACGGCATTTTATTCAAAGATTACAACACAAACTCAAACAAGTAAGTAAATAATTTAACTACTAATCGGTTGAAAATGTTGGGCATTTTGGGGGGATGCTACGGCTTTTTTGTAAATGGATGGCCGAAGAAGTCCAGAGGCTGCAGATTTGCACTTCGAAGAGGTTCTAGCTGACGCAGACATGGTGAATTAACACATGTACATTAGCGGCGAACAACATTAGTAGAGCACTTACGGCTTCAGTATAGCCCAGATTGATCTGACTGTATGTCGTCGATCCAATGGGGCTCTAGAGGCGAGTCAACGATGAACAAATTTTTTTTTAAATAATTAACGTCAAAGTGACACTGCCAAAGTCAAAGCAATCATAGATTAGGCATTTCATTTTAAATTTAGATAATATCAAGTGGTACAGGGTATTAGTATTTTGGGTTGCGTAAAAATAATTTTCAGAAGTAATTCTCTCGTGACTAACCCTGTATATACTATTGTAAATTTTGAAAATTGTGGTGAGCGTTTTACCATCAATATTATATTCCTAATGCACATACAAAATTTGACAATAATCGGTCCAGTAGTTTCGGAAGTTATGTCTAATAAAAACCTGGACAGACATACAGACAGACGGAAACGGAGGACCGATTTCTGCGTACTCTGGGGGTTATGAAAGGTCGAGAAAACATGAAAGTAGGTAGTCGGCCGATGGACTCAATTACAATACTTCCTTAGCTTACGCTCAGAAAGTAAAAATCCACCACTTTTTTAAATTTAGTTGGCTTATATTAAACAATAAATATTATTAATTATTATTAAATCTTTGTTACAAATATAAGAAGTTAATAAGTAATGAGAATGTGTTTTGGTATTGATAAAAACCTAAGTAAACACGAATATTCAAGAACTAATCGATCACTTACGACGTGGATTAATGGAATTAACCATGGACAACAATACACTAACAGAGTAATTATTTGGACTTGCGATAATGCTCTCATCAAGTTGATGAAAATGTTGTAATGAAAAGAGTAGATTTAATTTATGTTTTTTTGTTAAACACCCATTTAAAATATCCATAGTTAAAAAGTGATAAATGTAACAACAACTAGAGAACTATCCACTCAGCATCCAAAATCGGCATTAGAGCAATTCTTATTCGGAAGAAGTAAGCAGAAACACGATTAGTTAACTTGGAATATTTGCATGCCAAGACAAAATCTCTCATCTCTTTATTCTAACTAATTGAGAACAACAACGGATTAAAATCTGCTTATAGCAAATAAAAGAACAGACTTACATAACTGTTAGTATTAATTTATTTACTAAAAAAAAAAGAGATAGCTCGAAATACTAAGGATCAGAAATTGTGGTGCACTAGACAATAAAAATTGATTTAAGATAATTGAACAAAATAATTTCCAACATCAAACACTGATGTTCACTTTTAACTGAAGTTTATTTTCATGAATTCAAGAAGACCCAGGCACAAACAGTGCCGGAAAAGATCACATGCAAACTTTTTAAATTACAAAACGCAAATTAGAGAGTTGGTTTGATGCACGATATGACAATTTTACTACTTTGGCAAAACATTAATTAAAAGTGTTAGCGCCTCTGGCGGGGATAGCTGTTTCGCCCCTCCACTCGCAAAGGTGAATCCCGAGCCACCTCCCATTTGAACAGAGGGTATTTAATTTTTATTTAATTTAAATTCATTAGGGACTCATTATTATTATTCATGATTCACTCAACATTCATTTGTGGACCAAACGGTCATATTCATCTTTCATTCATTCTGTCCACTTATCATCTATCGATAAACGTTATTCTTATCATGTACTATACAGGGTGAGTATTATAATAACGGGACTCTGACCAATTTTCAATGCAACACAACATACATCTATCAGTTATTGCTAGATTCCAAAATAAACACATCCGTTTTTAGGATCAACGTAGGTACTCTCCTTAGTAGTTGTCACTGTTTCTGAAAGACGTCAATCAAAATTTCACAAATGATATATTAAAAAAACACCAACATATTAGTAATTCAAAGAAATGTAATAAATAAATTAAGTAAGTACTATTCAAAATGCCTTCCTTCCTGCACAACATACATTGCGATGCGATTTAACAACCGGACGCGGACAAGTGTTTCAGGAGTTACTGCAGCACATGCATTTCTCATTTGAGAGGAACAATTTCTAATAACCCCCGAATATCATTTTCCAAACATTGTCGATGCCTGTGTCCTGTTAAGTTGCCTTCGAAGAAGTATGGGCCAATTACGTAATCTGCAATAATACCAGCTCACACATTTATGGAATAAACATTTTGAAAATGAGCTGTTCTGATCCAGTGTGGATTATTTTGGGAATAATAGTGACAGTTGTGCCGATTAACAACCCCGTTATTGGCAAATCTTTGCTTTGTCGCTGAACAAAACTTTGAACAAAAAATTATTGTCCAACTCTAGTTGATTTTGCATAAAATGGCAAAATTGTATTCTTCTGGGAAAGTCTTCTTCTTTCAGATCGTGTACAGAAAATTCCGTACAAAGTTAACTTTGTACAGGTAATGCGTACATAGTTCGAAATTTGGCCTGTTTGGTTTACTTTGTACAATGTGTGTTGTACAATGTCAGCATCGTACGAAGCGATGTATGCAAAGTGGGCACTGCATACCTCCATCACGCGTACAACGTTGTTATTGCTGAAAGAAATTAGGTTATGTTTGACTGTTGTAAATAATTGTAAGAAGCGGCCTCTGTTAAATTGGATTTAACATGAACAGGGCTATGAAAGTCTCAGCTGACTCCATAAGAAATACATGGGGAGCTTACGGAACGACATAAAGAGGTCACTGGCGTCACTAAAGGTGCTCCGACCTTGAAGAACATAGTTTCTTTTTCATTTTAAGGTTTTCGGTGAATGCACAGGTGAATGTTTTGTCTGGTTTTGTCAACAAGAAATGTCATATTATTTACGGAATCATACGGGATGTTGGGTTATGGGGTTAAAAACAAACGTAAAATTTATTGTAACAAAGTAATAGATACTTACGACACAGTCTTACGATACATGTAAAAAATACTAGAAAATTCCAGGCTAAAGAGGTCAACAAACTGCAGGTTAAACGAAATAGTTTAATTTTCGATGTGTGCGTGTTTGAGCGGTCCAAGATTTATTTTTAAATTTTAGTGTGTAAAAAATTCTAACTCTAATAAAAACTGAGACGAGGTAATCAAGAGGAAAGTCTTTGCAGGGGTGGTGGAATGGTATTTTTGTATGGTTCGTTTTTTAGCCGCAAACCAGTTAACGAATACAGTACATAAATTGGGAAAAACTCACAAAATGTATTACCCACTACCGGAGTATAAACTGCAAAATGTTCAGGTGGCATCATTAAATCGCCAAAAATCACATCTTCATTGAAAACTTTAAAATGTCACAGAATTAAAACAGGATGTACCACTTCGTAAGAATGTCCAAAGTTCTCACAAACTTCGCAGAAGTGGTGGTGTAAGAATTTTCGTATTAATGAATATTCACAAACATACCATAAACAGTTGTGTTCTTTCAAGGTGAGTTTCCGGTAACTCACATCACTTAATGATTGTTGAAGAGACCGGAATACAGGGAAGATGTGTTGTGGAAGTTTATTTAAAAGAACACCTTAGCAAATTTTTCATTTCAAATAAAATAGTGTTTCACAGTTGGTTCTTGCACTTGTATCGAAATAATCTGTAGTAAATAGTTTCCGAAACGTTCTTTGGAATTCTATTGGTGTGGGATTTATACAATTCCCAAATTGACGCCTCACAGAGCCAAAGAAATATGTCAAACAATACTGATTTAGTTGCAGCAACCTTTTAGTGAAAATTGTAAACAAATTGTATTCTGTGAAAACTATTAAAAATAATAAGCAAAATGTTTATGTTCCTGAAGTTGTTTTTTATTTTTTTGTGAGTGATTTAAAAATATTAAGAGTGAATTAAAAATTTTGCAATTCACTTGTGGATAACAACTTATTTGTCAGACTTGTTAAGGTTTTAATAAACGCAGTTTAAAACGTCAAAATTGAATAAAAATATTTTGCTTGAATATATTAATAATAATTTATAGGAAAGAAAAAAATGACCAATGTCACTAGTACATGCCAACCATTTTTATTTTTGTGTACAATTATTAGTATATATGAATCACATACGAATGCTACGAAATATTTGAATCTTCGTGTTTCCCGGGAACGGGCTCCCAAGGTCACACCCGTTCCGCAAATATTGCTGAAGTTTCGTTACTGATCTACTGTGACATGAATGTGAAAGACAAGTTTAATGTGGAAGTGAATAAATTAAAAGTTAGCGTGAATAGTTTCGCGATTAAAACAAAGGAACATTATAAGACTCTTATTAATGAAGTGTCGGACGCCAAAAATCGTCAAAAGAAAACATGGACAGTAAAATATTACACTCACAATTTGGAATTATTCGAAATAATAAAAGCTGCTCACGTGGAGACAGGACATGGGGGGATCCATAAACTGGAGCACAATTTAAAACAGAATACGTGAACATTACTAGAGAAGTAATAAAAATTTTTTTGAACAACTGTACATGTTTAAGAAAGAGAGTACATCCAAAAAAAGGGATCGTTGTTAAACCCATGGTTTTCAGCGAGGTGAATGGCCGAGGGCAGGTTCATCTTATAGATTTTCAGACTTGCCCAGATGGAAACTACAAGTTTATATTAAATTATCAAGATCATTTAAGCAAATTTGTGATTCTCCGTGCTTTGAAAAGTAAAACAGCTGCGGAAGTCGCATACCATCTTGTAGATATATTCTGCATCTTCGGGGCACCCTCAATACTACAGTCCGACAATGGAAGGGAATTCGTTAACAGAATTATAGAAGAACTGAAATGCATTTGGCCAGCACTGAAAATTTTCCACGGAAAGCCAAGGCACAGTCAAAGTCAGGGCAGTGTTGAAAGGGCTAATCGTGACGTAGAAGATATGATTGTGGCTTGGATGGAAGACAATAAGACAAAAAATGGAATGAAGGCTTGCGCTTTTGTCAATTTAAAAAAAATAACAGCTTCCATTTAGGAATTAAGCAAACACCATTTGAAGTGTTTGTACACTTTGCTTCGCACGATGCTGACATTGTACAAAGCACACTGTACAAAGTAAACCAGACCGACCAAATTTCAAGCTATGTACGCATTACCTGTGCAAAGTTAACTTTAACTTATCATTTTAACTTATCATTTTTGACAGCATAATTTTTATTTAATCATTAAATACCTTGATTGCAGTTTTTAGAAAAAAAACAGAATGATGGGATTCAAACATAAATGAAGATAATAAAAGATAATTTCGCTGAAATTGCGTTTTTAATGTCCAAGATCGAAAAACCGTAATATAAATAAAAAAAAATAAATCTGCTACAAAATTTTCAAAATGTGCTCTTGCCGGGTATGGAACGATGTGGGAATGCTGCAACAAAATTTTGCGGAGTTTCTTTGTTGTCGATAAGGCTTTAATGTATCCATCAGTGACTATTTCTACTTTTTCTTTAATTGTGTACTGCGGCATGTTGACGAATTTCGGTCACTAAAAACCAGTAATTGAACGAGTAGTCAAAGTTTAGAAACGTCTGGTAAGTAAATGTCTGTTTTTACATGGCTGCCTACAATATTAGCGACAAAAATATCCAAATCTTTTAATTTTTTTAAAGAAATGTCCTTTAATTTAAAACATGATTTTCAATAAAATCGACAAAAGATAACCCAAGTTACATCCAGTAAAAATTTCAGCTCTGAATCTTTATTCAAACATAAGTTAACATGGTGTATAAAATTCCTATGGCAACTTTTAAAAAAGATGCACTATATATCAAGGGAGCAAAGTGAAACATTTCCTCCCGTGGATTCAGGTTGAGGCGCGTAGCGGAGTGCCTTAAGAATCCGAGGGAGGAAATGGCACTTTGCTCAAGTGATATATATATATAATTTTTTCTTCGAACGAACGTTTAAAATCAATTTTATAAAAGTTTAAATGAAAAAACTATTACCGCAATAAACTAAGTCATCTAGATAGTTTCTATGACAATTTTCAAACAAATAAAAAAAAATTGGTCTAAAGAGTTTAGACCGTACTTCCCTCGCATTCGGAAACGTGACGACTGCATGCCTATTATGTTTTTTTTTCGCAGTAGATTTCAAAGCATTCGGTTTTATAGTTCCTGAGTACATCAATTAAATAAATTTACGCATTTATTTTTTTTTTGAGTCACCCCGTATATGCAAATTCAAATAATATGAATGGAATGATAAATTACAAGTACAGACTCATCATATTTTGTACATTCTAGATAGGATTTATTCGGCAAAATTTTGAGCTGACGTCATCAGTTTTTTGGAGAAGATAACCAAATATATTTTGACTAAAAATTTATTATGCTCTTTATAACCTTAAAACATCTGCAACATTTCAAAACATTCGGTTCTGTAGTTCAATAAAATACATTTACGCATTCATCCATTTTTCTGGGTCAGCCTGTATATGCAAATCCAAAAAATATGAATGGAATGATAAATCACAAGAAGAGACTCATGATATTTTGTACATTTTAGATCGGATTTATTCAGCAAAATTTTGTGGTGACGTCATAATTTTTTTAGGGGGGATGAGCAAATATATTTTGATCAAAAACTTACCATGGTTATGATATCTTTAAAACATCTTCAAGATTTCAAAGCATTCGGTTTGTAGTTCCTGAGTAAATCAATAAAATAAATTTATGCATTCATTAATTTTTTTGAGTCACCCTGTATATGCAAATCCAAAAAATATGAATGAAGTGATAAATCACAAGTACAGACTCATCATATTTTGTACAGTTTAGATAGGATTTATTTGGCAAACTTTCGAGCTGACGTCATCAATTTTTTGGAGGGGATAAGCAAATATATTTTGACTAAACATTTATTATGTTCTTTATAACCGTAAAACATCTGCAAAATTTCAAAACATTCGGTTTTATAGTTACTGATTAACTCAATAAAATAAATTCACGCATTCATAAATTTTTTGAGTCATCCTGTATATGCAAATCGCAAAAATTTGAAAGGTATGATAAATCACAAGAAGAGACTCACCATATTTTGTACATTTTAGATAGGATTTATTAAGCAAAATTTTGTGGTGACGTCATAAATTTTTTAGGGGGGACGACCAAATGCATTTTGATCAAAAATTTACCATGCTTCTTATAATTTTAAAAGATTTTCAAGATTTTGAAGCATTCGGTTTTGTAGTTCCTGAGTAAATCAATAAAATAAATTTACGTATTCATTAATTTTTTTTACTCACCCTGTATATGCAAATTAAAAAAATTGGTCTAAAGAGTTTAGACAGTACTTCCCTCGCTGTCGGAAACTTGACGACTGCATGCCTATTGTGTTTTTTTTCTCATTACATTTTTGTAGTGGGAATTTAAAAAAAAATTGCGATGACGTCATCAACTTTTTTGCAAGGACACGTATATCAGTTGGGATAGATGTAGTGTAATACTAAGAATAAAATTATTATATTCTCAAATTTTCGGGAAAATGAATTGGGTCGTTTTGAATATTGATTTGTAATAATCAATAAAATAACGAAACAATTTACTCACGTATACGTATCAGAGGCAACTGAAAATCGTGTATGTATAAACATTCTTAATTTAAGATGACAGGCGTAACAGCATACGTGAGAGTCAAACAGAGAAACTGTAAACAAAACGACCATCGGTTTTATTGCTTCGACTTCCGCTTATTATATAAAACATTGGGTTTTATTTTAATTCTTGACGGTGAAATTCACAATTGGTTGATTATAAACATGTCTATTTCATATTCGCGGAACCAAGTGAACGCATAAAGCAAATGCAGGTCTGTAATGTTAAAGTCGATGTAAATAAGCGTGCTACCCTTATGTTTCAACCGAGTTTTTCCTTTAACAAATTTTGTGTCTACCAAATTGGGTTGGTTGGGGTGTAATACTAATAATAAGTGTTGCCTTTAATTTAATCAATAAAATAAATTGACTTCATTAATTTTTTTGAACCACCTCTTAAGAAAATCTAAAAAATATGAATGGAATGATAAATCACAAGTACAAACTCATCATATTTTTTGCATTTTAGATAGGATTTATTCAGCAAAATTTAAGGGTGACGTCATCAATTTTTTTAGGAGGGATGAACAAATACATTTTGAACAAAAGTTTACCATGCTTATAATAACTTTAAAATATTCCCAAGATTTCAAAGCATTCGGTTTTCTAATTCCTGATTAAATCGATAAAATAAATTCACGCCTTCATTAATTTTTTTGAGTCACCCTGCATATGCAAATCCAAAAATATGATTGGAATGATAAATCACAAGTACAGACTCATCATATTTTGTACATTTTAGATACGATTTATTCAGCAAACTTTTGAGCTGACGTCATCAGTTTTTTGTAGAAGATAACCAAATATATTTTGACTAAAAATTTATTATGCTCTTTATAACTTTAAAACATCTGCAAGATTTCAAAGCATTCGGTTTTGTAGTTCCTGATTAAATCAATAAAATAAATTTACGCATTCATTAATTTTTTTGAGTCACCCTGTATATGCAAATCGAAAAAATTTAAATGGAATGATAAATCACAAGAAGAGACTCACCATATTTTGTACATTTTAGATAGGATTTATTCAGCAAAATTTTGTGGTGACGTCATAAATTTTTTAGGGGGGACGACCAAATACGTTTTGATCAAAAATTTACCATGCTTATGATAATTTTAAAATATCTTCAAGATTTCGAAGCATTCGGTTTTGTAGTTCCTGAGTAAATCAGTAAAATAAATTTACGCTTTCATTTATTTTCTTGAGTCACCCTGTATATGCA